ATCTCTGACAACCTATGAAGATAGTTTACAACCAGGTAAAAGGGTAGAATTTTTAAAGTTACCTCCTAGTTATGTCTGCAAGGAACTTTGCAGTCTCCTCATGGCCATTTTCCCTGGCTATTACCTCTGGTAATTGCGAAGTCTCTTTATAAGAATGGAGTAACATTCTCCCCGTCGTAGATTTAAATATCGGTTCAAGAAACCATAGAGCACCACTCGCTACCGCTGCATTAACCAAATGTTGCAGCGACTGAAGCTGTTGGGTAAATCCTAAGTAAAGGTGTCAATGTTACGGAAGATGATAGAAACTAGGTCATGTCAGTACAATTCAGATAACATCTTTTGCTTGTGTTTTATGCTTTGTTTTTAACAATAAAAGAAAAACCTCAAACATTTAAGATTCGATATGTAGTAAAAACAATATTTACAGAGGAACCTCGATTCAAGAAACTCTGTATAAGTCCTCGGTAAAATGCAAGGTATTCTAAATATCCTAATTACAAAATGTCTGGAAAAGAACCTCGATAAAACGAAACCTTGTATACCGAACATATTTTGCCAGTCCCTTGGCTCTTCGTTCAATCGAGGTTCTACTCTATGGTCATTTCTCGCACCTTTAGCACAAAAGAGCTATGGACACCGGTCTCTCTCTAGCCCTTTCAAACATGAAAGAGTTTCTGTAGATATTTTGGGTTTTGATTTACAGGGACAATAAAACTGGATTTCCATGCCGCAGAAAAATGCGCACTGAAAACTATCGAGCTGCAATGTATCTCCGTTGGTATATTTCTAACATTTGATAACGTCAACTAATAATAATGGTAATACAAGACGTCAGAGGGAAGGCACTTTCTCCTTTTGCCATAGGCTCAGAAACTCAAACAAGCTCAGGTGTATTAGTTATGAAGAAAGTGGCAAATAACGTAACTTACCACCATTTCCTGAACTGCCTGAATCATCCTGGGTATTCTCATTACTGCTCTCACCATTCCCAGAATTACTTGTATCACCGGGGGCATGACCATTACTTCCATCATATTTACTGGCCAAGTGACGCAATAAAATTGGATATATGCTTGGGTCATCAACATAATGTACCTTCGTTTCCCCCAAAGGTCTACCATATTCCGACTCCACTGACACTCTAACACTGCAAGGCCCTGGCGCAGCTGCAGATTTACAAATAAAAGAATTCTTAAAGGCTAAACAAAAAACTGAAGAGAGTTTTGTTGATAGTCTTACTTAGTTTTGAATGCGCTCTACTTCAAAAGGTGTTTCAACAAGTCGTTTTGAAGATGTCTGACCTTATGTTGAGTTTCAAACCGTGTGATAAGTGTCTTTATCTTTTAAAGGATAAGTACATTGGTTGTTTGTGACGAAGGCCATAGATTCGTGGCTATTGACGTCAAGTAAACAAAACAGGCCGAAAAAATTAATTCTATAACATATTAACAATTACTACCTTCGAATTGAGTGGTGTGAATTGCTCAAAAGGTACGTTTCGAGATTATTAAATCAGAGGAATTCCCATAGAGACGAGTGCAGTCTCAGTTTAGTCCTGAGTAGCACGTACAAATGTACCCACACAAAATTAAAATATACCAAGACAAATTGAGACTAGACTGAGTTCTCTGAAGACATCAAAATGTGGTGAGAGCATCAGTGACACACTCGCCTAAGGCTCGTGCGCCACTTTTTTTTTTTTACCACATTTTGACTTCATCTGTGATTTATTTCTGAGCAAAACACACGGCAACAAGGATTGTTAAACAGATCTGGAAGCAAAATTGTGACCATGAAAACTTGAGAGTAGGCGTCACTTTGAGAGTTTTGCAAAGTGAACCCTGGGCCTTAAAAATAAATGGATATTGTTGATTTTGTAATTTGCTGTAAGCATCGATGATATCATCATTTAAACAAAATTCCATAGAACAAAGGCTTGAATTTCTCGAAAAACGAGGGAAGATATTCCAAAACAGCTTTGTTTGTTTGTTTTTTTTTAATTCAATATTTATCCAGGTGCATCCCATTTAGCAGAGCTAGTTTAAATGGAGCCCTGACAAAACACAAAACAAAGACATTAAAACATTAAAACTACACAATTAATTAAGCTAAGACAACATGTAACGCAGGTGTTACTGTTTATAAAGTGGCGCTTTACCTTGATTTTGAATTCACTGAGGGTCTCTACTTGTCTAATGATTCTCGGTAGGGTGTTGTAGGTCCGAGCACCGTTTATTCGGAAGCTACCTTGGTATTTGGTAGTTTTTGCGAAGGGAGGGCGCAGCAAATCACGACTTCTGGTGTTACAGCCATGGAAAAGGTGCGCGTGTCTGAACTCTGAAAGTAAGTACGAAGGCGCTATTCCGTGAAGACACTTATGGACTAAGACGCATTTGAGATGATTTCTGCGGCCGCGGCTTGTAGGCTGGGCCAGCCAATTGTTGATTTTAACTCCTCAGCCCTGATAGATCGACCTTCAATAATACATGCGGCGCGTCTATTTAGCTTATCTAGATAGGCTTTGCTCCCAATCCCAATCGAACAATGGTAGGACTAAAGTATTGTAGAGCATTTGACAAGTTGGTTTGGGAAGAACCTAAGCGCTCGACGCAGAATACCTAATCTAGACGAGATTCTGTTACCGATATATTCTACGTGGTCCTTCCAAGATAGGGTGTTGTCTAGGAGGACCCCAAGATATTTAAATATGTTAACTCTCTCTAAACGCGTGTTATTGATTTTCATGTTGAAAGGCCTTTGAAATGAGCATCACCATTATACTAATACACAAACCTGGCATTTTCCTTCCCGAAAATGTCTTATCATTCAGTCTTTTCAATGGAACAACTCCCAAAGATTCAAATATGGCCCTTCCTGATTGAACCTCGCTAGGTGGAGGATGTTCGAATATAATATGGAAAATGTCTGCACCCTACACGAACAAGAAAAATTTATTATAAGTAGAGTTGTACCATTGCAGAACAGTGTAATAGTTCAGCACCACTACCGTGCTGCACATAGAGTTTACGAACTACAACGACGGAAACAACGCAACGAAAATTTAAAAAACGGCACTGGATTCATTGAACAAAATAGCCGTGAATCTGCAGGTGAACCACCCGCGCTTGGTTCACTTCTTTCCTGTAACTGCACGAGCAGTATGACTTAAAATTCACCAACAAGGCCGAGATCAGACGTTAAACTTCACATGTGACGAAGAATTTCAATGCCTCAGTAAAATCTGAAGTAATAAAACTGGACCATTATTTCTGGAATTCAATTGCAGTGAAGACAAGTTTTGGCTAACTTAAAAGATAGCAAATAGCCCCTTAAATTCAACGTTTCATCGAGAACATGAAAAAACATAGCCTGTGCACAGAAGCCAACTCCCTTTAAAAAAATCGGGGAGTTTGCCTGCGTCACAGACGCTCTAAACCTTCTGTATAGAAGCCACAGCCAATTAAATGCTTTCTTTAAAACTGAGGGAGAAAAATGAGTCTATGCTACATTGCGTTTTTCAAGAGTTTACTTTAATCGTTGCCGTCCCGGAGATCACCGGAAACCAGGTGAAAAGTTACAATGTAAGAAAGAAAGAAAGAAAGAGCGAAAGAAAGAAAGGGAGAAAGAAAAGAGAAAAAGAAAGAAAGAAAGAAAGAAAACTTTATTTACTGAGGGTGGAGTACATTAATTACCGGTGGCCCGGTAGTTCTTACAATATCCCTCAAAAAAGAGATATTTTAATAAAAACTAGAAACATCCTACTAATTCTAAAAAATCCTACTATTTCTTAAAATTTTTAAAATTCCCAAAAAGTCTTAGTTATATTGAAATACATTAAAAGTTTTTAAAATACTCAAATTTAAAATTCTTAAAAAGTCCTTGTATTATTAAAATGGTATAATGACTAGTTTTCCTTGATAAGATTGTTCTGCAGCATTTTCCTGAAATTTTTATGGGAAGTAATGTTTCTGTATGAGTTATCCAAATTATTCCGTAGACGACATGCACTTGAATGGAAAGTTTTAAGCTCTGAGTTTCTTTTACATGATGGTGTCAGAACGTCATTAAATATAGCAGACCTGGTACGATAACCATGTGTAGACCTGACATGTTTAAAATATGAAGAAAAATATTCACGACAGTGACCCTTGCTTATTTTATGTAGCAGGAAGAGTTTTATAACGCGTATAACGTCATTTATAGGCAGCCAACCTAACTGATCAAAAAGTTCAACGGAGCTATCATTTATGGTGGCGTTCAAAAATAAACTCGCACAACGTTTTTGTAGTTGTAATAGCCTTTGAAGGTTGGCAACAGAACAGCTTCCCCAAACGTTGCACAGTAGTCAAGAATTGGCTTAATAAGGGCATTAAATAACATTTTTCTGCATTCAATAGTTAAATAGACTCTTGCTCTCTTGAGGAGGCATAAGGGGAGCTGAGGCGTAGGGAGGGGGCAAGGAGAAATAGTCTGTGAGGGATACTGGCTAAATTCACTTATTAAATAAAAAATCAAGGAATGAATGAATTTCCAGTACTAGTGGGGTATCAACTCGAAAATTTTACGTTTTGCGTTTATATTCCCCCTTGGGTGACGCGAGAAAAAAAAACATGTAAAAAGTAACGCTTTAATGTTCCGACATTATCAAGGAATAAAAATGAGAGTTCAACTGAGAAGTTAAAATACTCTAAATTTGCATGAATGAAAACAGCTAAACAAAGACTTTAGCACGGATTGAATCCATTTGCACGTTCAAAGGCGGTCTTAATTATTTGATGTAAAGCATTTCGTTAACGAGGCAGTCAAATTTGTTGTTGCTTTTTTCAACACTCTAAAGCAGCTAAGAAGGTCCTCAGGGACGCCACCCGCGTAAATCATCTTCCGTGCGCAAGCACTATGATGAGACTACGCGGGTTCCGTCCCTGAGGACCTTCTCAGCTGCTTTAGGGCCTGTTTACATGGAGTGGGGGACCCCGGTCTAGTGGGGTTGGTTTCTT